AGTGTTTGATTTTAAGGGAATAAATGGATGAAGATAGATACTTTCTAAGTAAGGTATAATAGTGTGATCAGGTAGAGAACAGGGTTCACCAGGAAGATAGATATGTTGTTTTATAGCAACAGCAGTTTGGGTGGTGGTGGTTCCAGACGTGGCAGTTTGAGTGATGATAGTTTTATAAGTAGTAGTTCAGGTGGTGGTTTTGGAGGCAGCAGTTCTGGTAGTGGTCCCGGTAGTGGTTTCTGTTTCTGTAATGATATCATTATCCTTAGAGGCATCTGTTTATAGAGTTGTGTATTAAATTAAAACTTGTGTCAAATTAATGCCACTAATATCTACTCTAACCCAACCCTATCCTTAATATAACCAACTCTAGCCTTAATATAACCAACTCTAACCTTAGCATAACCCAACTCTAATCTTAGCATAACTCAACTCTAATCTTAATATAATATAACCCAACCCTAATTCTAACAAAACTAACCAATTGTACTAGGAGTGTTATAAACACAATGCATTTTTCACCCAAAAATTGATTCATGTGATGTTTGACTATACACTGTGTGGACTGTTAAGTTATACAATATAACAAATATATCGATTTCATTTATCCAGTTCTTTTTTTGAAGGTGGTTACTTTGGTCTCAAAGCAACTGCAGCTTACAGTCTGGTTAAGTTGCTCGACTTGATCTTGCAATTGAGAATGACGAGGCCTACCATGCCTAATCATAATGTTGAGAGCCTTACAAATTTGCATAATTATTCCTGCGACAAACTCCTTACCGTTATCACTTTAAAAGACTACAGAGGGGCCAAGAACTTTGAAAACATCTTTAAGAAGATGTGTTGTGACTGTATTTGCTTCTTTATTTTTCATCAGGACTATAACAAGAAACTTGGAAAATATACAGACACATGTAAGCAACCATGAGTAACCATCATTCATTTTAACAAATTCATAGAAATCGACCAAATCAATTTAAACATATTCCTATAGTTTCAATGATACCACAGAGATTATGTCAGTTTTTTTTTTTTTTTCGGTGTTAAGGTGACCTCTTGGCCGGGGACTTTTTATTAGATAATTAACAACGTTACAAT